AGGCTGAGGTGGAGGGATCACCTGAGCCCAGCAGGTCGAAGCTGCATTAGCCACAAGCGTGTCACTGCACTCCAGTCCAAGTGACAGAGGGAGATTCTGACTCTAAATAAATAAATAAATAAAGAAGAAGAGACTGTCAGCCAAGTAAACAGATAGAGGGGAGAGAAGCCCCAGAAAGATGTTGGTTAGTGCCCGAAGCTGTAAAGATGGCTAGACCACTGACAATAGGACCTTTGCCAGAAATTTGGGTTTTATTCTAAGACCTGTAGGAAATCATTGAAAGGCAGAGATATGATCTGATTTAGTTTCTCTTTCTTTCTTTTTTTTTTTTTAGCTGCTGAAAGCAACATTAACACAGTATCTGTGGGTCTGGAATCTAGGTGTGGCTTGCTGAGCACCTCTGGGTCAAGGTCTTTCAAGGGGTTGCAATCGAGGTATCTGCTGGGAATGCAGTCTCAAAAGTTTGATACCTGAATTTTTTTTTTTTTTAAGAAAGGGTCTTGTTCCGTTGTCCAGGCTGGAGTGTAGTGGCATGAATATAGCTCATTGCAAACTTGAACTCCTGGGCTCAAGGATCCTCTGCTTCAGTCTCTCAAGTAACTGGGACTATAAGCACCCACCACCATGCCCAGCTAATTTTTTTATTTTTGTAGAGACAAGGACTTCCAGGCTGATCTTGAACTCCAGGCCTCAAGCAATCCTCCTGCCTCTGCCTCTGCCTCTGCCTCTGCCTCCCAAAGCACTAGGATTATAGGATTAAGCCCATCACACCATGCCTTTGATATGGGGTTTAATGTTGGATTAGAAGGAAGGATAAAGAAATGAGGCGATAAGTAAAAGTAGTGGGCTGGGTGCGGTGGCTCATTCCTATAATCCTAGCAATTTGGGAGGCCAAGGTGAGAGGATTGCCTGAGCCCACAGGTTCAAGACCAGATGGGCAACTTGGCAAGACCTCATCTCTACAATAAATCAAAAAATAAGCTGGGCGTGGCAGCACGTGCCTGTTGTTCCAGCTACTTGGAAGGCTGAGGCAGAAGGATCACCTAAGCCCAGCAAGTTGAGGCTACAGTGGCCTTGAGTGTGCCACTGCACTCCAGTCTGGGCAACAGAGTGAGACTCCAACTCAAAAAAAAGAATAAGGTAGTGGCCAAGAGAGATCAGATTAGAATAATGAAGGGACTTGAGACATATTTTGGAGAAAGAATGCAGGTATTGAAGTTGAATTGCTCACTAGGAGTGAGGAAAGGTTGACTTCTGCATTTCTGACTTAAGCAACCAGATAGGTGGTGGTAAAACTCAGTATGACGGAGAAGATGAAGGAGGGAGAGGTTGGGTTCTGGGAAGGTGAAATATAAAATCCAGAGTCCCATTTTGGATGTGTCAATGTGGGAGGTGTCAAAGTGGAACTATCCATTGGACAGTTGGACAAGCAGTACCAACACTTTAAGAGTTAGAGAAATAAATTAAAGATGACATTTAAGTTCATGGAAATATGTGTTATGACTTAGAATACACATAATTACCCAGAGAGAGGAAAAGGTTCTGGCCCTGCGGAATCTCAACGTCTAAAGATCAGGCTGAAAAAAGAAAAAAAAAAAAGAGAAGAAAAGCAATGGCCGGTCAAGTGGGAGAATGGTGTTTCAGAAGCCGAGAGAAGAAAGACTTTCTAAAATGAGTGGAGGTCAACTTGTCAGAATTCTGCTGAAACACTATTTAAAGTAAAGACAAAGATATCTATTTGATTTAGAAAAATGGAGGTCATTTAGTCATAGCTTGACTTAAAATATTTTCTTCTTTACTTTCTTTTCTTTTTTCTTTTTTTTTTTTTTTTTG